CCACCCATCTCCAGGCCCCGCGCAGCCTGGTCTGGGCCGGGCCTTGCTGGGGCGTGTGCCCATTCCCATACGTACGTGCGGAAATGCGCTCGCCCGGCACCAGCGAGGACTCCGGACAAGCGGCCTATGAGAGTAGTCAGGGGCTGCAGGGACCCTTCGGTTCGGTGCTGACTTTTGCGGGGAAAGCTCTTGATCAGGCCATCCTAAGCCATGGGGTCCCTAATTCTAGAGAAGCCAAAAGACTCTCCTTTCACAGGAGAGGGTCCTGGAGCACTGCCTCAGGACTTGGGAAACAACGGTGCATCTTTGTGGCTGGTTGTGTGGTGGGTGGGGGAGAAAGCTTGGGGGGAGGGGATTCAGAAGGCAGGAGCTTGCAGAGGGGGCCCAGGTGAAGAGAGGTGTCTCTCCACAGGACCAACTCCCAGCCTTGGCCTGGCTGGTATGGACCAGCTGACCTTCCCAGAGGTCCAGCGCCAGCCTCTTTCTGCCCCCACAGTAATCCAGGATGGGAAAGGACCAGCACTGGGCTGTGGGTGGGATGCACTCTGACCCCCGCCCCCTCCCTACCCCAACTTTGACCTTGGCTGAACTTCTGGGCAATGTGAGAGTGTGTCAGCCACCTCTCAGTTCTGGGCCTGGGCACCTGCGCTCAGCCGCCTCTATATGAGGGACAGGGCTGCCAGTGCACCTTTCCTTCCCTCTGCATTCCTCCCAGCCCACACCTGCCCTGGTGACCCCTCCCTCAGCCTGTGGTCACTCCCATGTCCCCAATTTCCATGGATGACCCCACCATGGCTTGGTGCCAGCTCCAAACGCTGGAGGTGGACTGCTGTGACAGGTTACTCACCTGCCCAGGCCTCGCCCACCTCCTTCTGCTTCATGGAACTGGGCCTCTCCAGCTCACTGATGTAGCCAGCCCCCACCATCACCAGGACCCTCACTACCTCCTGCCCTGAGATAACAGGCATTGATGAGTTGATGTCCAGCCAAGCCTGGGGGACGATTCGTATGTATCATCTTATCCAACTCTCAGGCCATCAAGGGGCAAGTACAGTCATCACCCACTTTGCAGTGGCCCAGAGCACCCCATGATTCCCCCAGGTACTCAGCTGGTCAATGACAGAACCAGCGATAGAACCAGTGTCCTGCTGACTCCAGCAGACAGACCCCTTCAGTGACCATCAGCCTGCAACCAAGCTGCACACAGGTGTGTGACTACAGGGCATGTGAACCATACAGTGGGCACCCTTGCTTGTGAGCTATTCCCACCAGGCCCCACCTCTCTCTGGGCTGTCCTCCCAGACTCTTCCAGCCCCTCTCTCTGTCTCCCATGAACTTATGTGGCCTTTAACCCTCAATTTAGAACATAATGGTTTGTCGTCTCTAGTGGCTTCATGTGTCCTATTAGTGTGTTTGTGACAATAATAATAATACTGTTGTAGTTTATGCAAAGTTACAGCTTAGAGATTGAAGCCCTTTCAAATGCTTGTGACTCTATCCATCACCCTGTACCAATCCGTGTGCAGATGCAGTCCTGTATGGAGAGCCCTGCAGTGATGCTCACAGACGCTGGGAAGTCCACACCCACCCACCCCCACTCCCCAACACACACACACACACACACACACACACACACACACTCACACACACACTGCTATGGAGAGGTTGGCTGGAACACCAGCCCAGGTGTGTTGGCAGGGACTATTGAGTCTCATTCCTGAGGCTCTGGTCTTTGTTACATGCAGATGGTGTAAAGGCTGGAGGGGGTCGGGATGGTGCATGAGTGCCCCTGGAACCAATTCCCACTCCCTCATGCCCCCCCGCCCAGTGTCTGTGGCCAGTGTCTATGGTCACATTTATCTTGTCACACAGAGCCAGGCAGCAGAAAGTGCTCACGTGATCCACCTTGACCTGTATTACCTGGGAAAGATTTTAAATTTATTCTTAAACAGTTTCATAGATATGTAATTCATATACCCTCTAATTCACTCACTTAAAATGTACAAGTCAATGTTTTTTTAGTATCTTTGCAGATTTATGCAACCATCACGTCAATTTTAGAACAAACCCCAATCTTCCCATCAACCCCTGCCTCAGGGAGCCACAGTCTGCTCCTGTCTCCTTGGATTTCCATGTTCTGGACATTTCATGTGAATGGAATCGTGTGGTTTCTGCCCTTTTGCGTCTGGCTTCTTTCTCTGAGCGTAGTATTTCCAAGGTTCATCCCTGAGGCGGTGTGTGTCAGAACGCCATTCCTTTTCATGGCTGTGTAAAGTCCAGTGTATGGACGGACCATGCTTTGTTTACCCATCCATCTACTGGTGGACATTTGGGTTACTTCTACTTTTTGGCTCCTTTGAACAGAGCTGCACAAGGCTTGTGTGGACATGATTCCATTGCTTTTGGATGGGACTTGAGCGGGGACTGGCTGGGTCACATATCAGCTCCCTGTGTAATTATGTGAGGAGCCACCTCTCCGTGGGCCCAAGTGTTTTCCAGAGCAGTGGCTTCACCTCACGGTCTCATCAGCCATGTGGCGAGGCTCTGTTTCTCCACATCCTCAAAGACACTTGTTACAATCTGACCTTTTTTTTTTTTTATCTGACTTTATTATTTTGGCCATCCTGGTGGGTTGGGATGTGCTGTCTCACTGGTTTGATTTGCGTTTCCCTAATGGCTAATGATGTCAGGCTAACGATGTCATGTGTTTATTGGCCATTTGCATATCTCCCTTAGAGAAATGTCTGTTCAAACCTTTGTCGGGATGTAAAGTTCTTTATATATTATGGGTACAAGTTCCTCATCATATAGATGATTTGAAAATATTTCCTCCCATCCATGGGTTGTCTTTTCACTTTCTTGATGGTGTTGTCTGAAGCACAGAAGTTTTTAGTTCTGAAGTTCAGTTTATCTATTTTACCTTTTGTTATTCCTGCTTTAGGTGGCATACCTTTGAATTCTTTGAGTCTTAATTTTTTATTTTCTGCCCACCTGGCTGCAGCCAGGAGGCAGGGCATAGCCAGTCATTCCGGGGACTCCCATAGTGCTGGAAAGTTCTTGACTGTAAGAATTTCTATTCCCGCCCTGACTGGTTTGGCTCAGTGGATAGAGCGTCAGCTTGCAGACTGAAGGGTCCCGGGTTCGATTCCGGTCAAGGGCACATGCCAGGGTTGCAGGCTCAACCCCCAGTAGGGGGTGTGCAGGAGGCAGCCGATCAATGATTCTCATCATTGATGTTTCCATCTTTCTCTCCCTCTCCCTTCCTCTCTGAAATCAATAAAAAAATATTTTTTAAAAAAGAAAGAAACTCTATTCCTTAAGCCCCCAAAAGGTGTAATAGAGGCACAGTTGGACGGAGGTGAGACTAACCGGGGGCGAATGGGCAGGGGACCCACCCACCAGGACACTTTGGAGGTCTCTCAGCCAGATGTATGGACTTCCTCCTCAGGTGTAGACAGGACCACGGCAGCTTCAGGCAGCCCCGTTCACACTCAGAAAATGCAGAAGGAGCTTTTGCTAGGAGGGTCCTGTGGAAGGGCCTGTGTGCAGGGCAGGAAGATGGGGCCTGGGTAGCCCTCCTGGTCAATGTCCACCCATGTGCCTGAGGAGATGATGCTGGAAGGAGGTGCTGCACTGAGGCAGACACTTCCTGGGAAGGGTGAAGGCAGCTACCAGGGCTGGGGCCAACCCCTAGGCTTTGCTTATTGCTCCTGCGTTCTGGTCACTCTCTGCTGGTGGTCACACCTCAGCCAGCGACCCCCACCTGCTCCTTGGAAAGACATCCAGGCCTCCGAGGGGTCTGTTCCTTGTTTCCATGATCCACGCTGCTCCATCCAGCCGGTACCCAGGCCCCCCCATGAGTCCCAGGCACTTTGGCCTTCAGAGGCCCTTTTCTCCATAAAAATACAACAAAAAACTGGTCCTAGCCACTCAGGAGATAGAGTGTCAGCCTGCAGACTGAGGGGTCCCTGATTGGATTCTGGTCAAGGGCACGAACCTCAGTTGCAAGCTTGATCCCTCACCCTGGCCGGGACACATGTGGGAGACAACCCATCGATGTGTCTCTCTCACATTGGTACTTCTCTCCCTGTCTCTACCCTTCCCTTCCATTGTTTTTAAAGATCAATGGAAAAATATCCTCAGATGAGGGTTACCAAAAAGAAAAAAACAAAAGAAAATACTGTATCTTAGAACTGTGTCTTTTCCTTGTCATTCTCCCAGTTCCGTGGCGTCGTGTCTGAATGGTGGTCAGCCACCTACCCTGTGCCTGTGGGGTGGGCCTGCAGGGACTCTGCCTCTGGACACCCTGCTCTGCCCTCCCCTGGCCTTGGGCCCCTGAGCGTCCTCACCCCAGGGAAAGCCTGTGAGGAGGGATATTTGCAGCACTTCATCCACCACAGCCCAGAGGAGAGGGATAATGGGATGCACCGGGAGCTGAGACCAGCTCTGGCCCAGAGCAGCTACAGCTCGAGTCCCGCCCAGAGCCCCTGACCACCCTGCATCCTCCAGGTTGCTGGGCAGCCCTTGGGAAGGCGGGGGCAGGGGGGTGGGGGGGCTCACCTGTGTCCTGCATTCTCCCTTCTGCATCATGGAGCCTCCAGGACAGTTTCGCCTGTTGATAAAATCAGTTCTCAGTACTTTCAAAGAGAAGGGCTATGCCACAGCCACACCTGCCATTACTAATAGGCATCCTTGTAGGTTTTTCAAAGCCTTCTCATTATCACATCAGTGCTCCCAAAACCCTGGGGGGGGTGAGGGTGGGCAGGGGGGGGGCACCTTGTCTCTAACAGGAGGACATGCATCCTAGGGGCCGGACAGCCCAGTCACCCCTGGCCTAAAGGACATGCCTGAGACGTGAATCGCCTGACGCCCACGTCTGTGCCCACAGCTGCACTGTCTGTGCCACGTGTGCTAGCCTGGGTGAACTCTCTGCCAGGTGGGAGCCACTATTGCCTCTTCGGGGTGGGGAGCAGCTCTCTCTCCAAGCCCCTAAGGAAGCTGGCACCTTCCCCTGGTCACGGGGGTAGGGGGAAGAACGAGGTCCCCGCCCCAGGATGTGAGGTGGGGACGGCCAGCTGAGAGTGGGAAAGCCTCTGCTGAGAGAGGAGAGGGTGGCTGAGCTGGGTCTCTGATGACGGTGGGGGAGGCAGACCTGGCCAGGGAGGGACACGGGGCAGTGACTCAACTCTGGTGAGAACCCCAATTGTCTAGAGGCCCCTAGCATGGGGTGGGGGTACTGCTGGGTGGCCCAGGGGGTCCAGAGGCATGGTCAGCCTGATCCTGAAGGTGCTTGGGGCTCCAGGTTCCTGGGAGCCACAGAGGGTCTCTTGTCTCCTAAAATGCACTTTGTGGGGGAGCAGGGACCTCAGGCAAGGGTTCCAGTCTTCCCAGGCTTCACTGTAAATACTGTATCAATATGACATGACGTGGGAAATGCCCGCCAGGCCTGAGGCCAATGGGTGCCTGCTCCCACAGCGCAGCCCGGGGGGGGAGGCTGTGCTCACGTCACTGAGGTCTTCCCCTCGGCTGCCAGCGAGGCCCCGGCTGGATTTCCAGGACTCTGAGTCATGGGTCCGTGGGGGTCCCACACATTCATGTTTCTCAGCCCCTTGGGTGCCCCTGTGCAGACCTGGTGCTGGGACCCTGCTTAGCTGTGTGACGCTGGGTGGGTCCCTCTACCTTTTCATCCTCGTAATGGGTGTAATTATGGGAGTCTTCAGCCAAAAGATGGACGGAGGATAAGACAAGATAACCATCAGCAAGCTAGGCGAAAGAAGCCGAGGCTGCCTCACCTGAGCTTATCTGGCCCCTGAGAGGGCCCTTCTCTCACCACCCACACCTGTGTGAGGGCCTGGGCTCAGGCTCTGAGAGGGGCCTGAGAGGGGACGGCCCCTGCTCAAGTCTCCTGCCGGCGATGCCCAAGCCTC